ACGATTGTGAGATCCTTTATCACCCGGGGAAGGCCAACGTAGTGGCCGACTCCATGAGCCGCAAGGCAGCAATGGCCCCGATCGGGGATATATGCTTGAGGATGACAGTGATTACTCCATTGTTGGATCAAATCAGGGATGCACAGGTTGAGGGCCTCAAGGAGGAGAGGCAGAAGTGTGAGAGGATCGTGGGTCGAGTAGCTTCCTTTGATTATGACAGTCGGGGATTGTTGACCCTTCATGGGAGGGTTTGGGTACCGTACTAGGGCGGAGTATGGCATGTATTGATGGACGAGGCCCATAAGTCTCGATTTTCCATTCACCTAGGGGCGACGAAGATGTACAGAGATCTTTGACCAGACTATTGGTGGCCCTTCATGAAGAGGGATGTCTCCTGGTATGTGGAGAGATGCCTGACCTACAAGAAGGTCAAGGCAGAGCACCAGAGACCCCACGGCAAGATGCATTCGTTAGATATTTTTGTATGGAAATAAGAGGACATTACCATGGATTTTATCACTAAGCTTCACAGGATTGCACGGGGAGTGGACTCGATTCGAGTCATAGTGGATCGACTGACCAAGAGCGCACATTTTATACCGATCTAGGAGAGCATATCGACTAAGAAGCTAGCCGACATCTACGTGCGCGAGGTAGTGGCACGACACGGAGTGCCTGTTTCGGTTGTGTTAGACCGAGACGTCCATTTTACTTCTAGATTTTGGAAGCGGTTCCATGACGAGATGGGGACTCATCTTCATTTTAGCACCGCTTTCCACCCCCAGACGGACGGGCAGAGTGAGAGAACGATTCAGACTCTCGAGGACATGCTCCGGGCATGTGTTCTAGACTTCGATGGTAGTTGAGATACGTATCTTCCACTGGCAGAATTTTCGTATAACAACAGTTACCACACTAGCATTGACCATCCTCCTTTCGAGATGCTCTATGGAAGGAAGTGCAGGACCCCGATTTGTTGGGGGAAGTTGGTCAACGAGTCATCGGGAGCACCAAGGTGGTCCTGAAGACCACAAAGTTGATCCAGCAGGTTCGTAGTAGACTGCAGACTGCGCAAAGTAGGCAGAAGAGTTACACGGATAGGAGGCATTCGGACTTAGAGTTTCAGGTGGGCGATATGGTCCTCCTGAAGGTATCACCCTGGAAGGGTGTTATCAGGTTTCAGAAGAGGGGCAAGCTGGGCCCTAGGTTCATTGGTCTTTTTAGGGTTTTGGCCCGGGTGGGTCGGGTTGCTTATTGGTTGGATCTTCCGGCAGAGCTCAGCCAGATCCACAACACTTTCCATGTTTCTCAGTTGAGAAAGTGTTTAGTGGACGAGTCAGCAGTTGTACCCTTGGAGGATATTCAGGTTGATAGCAGCCTGAATTATATCGAGAGACCAGTGGTGATCTTAGATTGAAAGACAAAGACCTTGAGGAACAAGGTGGTTCAGTTAGTGAAGGTGTAGTGGCAGCATTGAAAGGGTTCAGAGTGGACATGGGAGTCTGAGGGGGAGATGAGGGAGCATTATCCAGAATTATTTTCAGATACAGCAACAACAACAGACTTCGAGGATGAAGTCTAAGATAAGTGGGGGAGAGTTGTAACGCCTCATTTATGGTATGTGATTTAAATAAAGTATTTTCATTTCGTAAGGGGTACTCGACGAGTTTGTAGCCCGACTCGTCGAGTAGAGAAAGGATGATCATGCAAATTGAGTTGGCTACTCGATGAGTCTATACACTGGGACTCGACGAGTCCACCTGTCTGGATGAAGCCCTAATTTTAAGGGTTTGCACCCTATTTAAATGCATTAATGCGCCCCAACCTCGCATCCATCACCCTCAGAGCATCCTTTACCGAACCCTACTCCCCTTAAAGAGTGTGTGAGTGATTGTTACTTTGTGAAGGAACTTTGGAGCAAGTAGAAGAAGGAGAAGGTTGAAGAGTTCAATGAGGAGGAAGTAGATCCAGAACACACTCAATTGTGGTCATCTATTCTGGTAATAAAGTCTCCATCTTGCTTATTGATCTAGTAGATCTTGTTTGTCCCTAATTTGTTGATTTTAAGCCCAAAAACCCCAAATCCTTTGTGATAAAGCCTTATGATCGGGTTATACTTCAGATCTGGACCCTCATTGCATTCTAGAAGTGTAAAGTTTCAGTTGTGGTCGTGATTGAGGTCCCTCTTGAGCTTGGAACCCCATTAAGAGCCTAGACTTTGCATTTGAAGCCTTTAAAGCCATGCATGCACGTAAAGTTTGCAACTTTACGTGATAAGCATGCCCTAGAAGCTTGGATCTGTGATTTGGAGCCGTTGCATGGCTTAAACCAGGTCTGTATGGAAAAAGGACTTAATAGACTTGGCGAGTCGCAAGGTTGACTCGGCAAGTCATATAAAGATAGTCGTGGACTCGACGAGTTGGATGAGAAACTCGGTGAGTCCGATGAAGTTTGCCTTAGACTCAATGAGTTGTTCATACAACTCGGCGGGTCGGATGAGTTTTCCCGATTAAAGTAGAGTTTTAGTGAAATAACTTCACTCCTTTTTAGTTACACATGAAGTTAGCAACTTCACGTGTTCAGATAGTCCCAGGAGCTTAGATCTACGAGTTAGATGCTCTGGAATGGATTGGAATCGATTGTATGAAATCTGCACGCTAGGACACGATGAGTTGTTCTTTGGACTCGACAAGTCAAGTCGCGAGTCCCCCGTCTTTCTTCGTTAGTGAGTTCAGGGTGAATCAGTGAGCAGGGAAGGGACTCGGTGAGTTAAAGTCATAGTAAGTAATGGAGGGACTCGGCGAGTCTGCGCCCTGAATCGGCGAGTCCGGTCAACTGGAAGTTGACTTTGACCAGTGAGTTGACTTTGACTAGGGGTAAAACAATTATTTTACCCTGAGGGCATTTATAAATACCTGATCTAGTGTTTTTGGGATTTGTAGCCGCACAGTTCTGGATCAGCAGTCAACCACTTTTAGAGTTAGCATCTCAGCAGCCAACATTACGAGGTGAGTTTTCCTTCCAGTAAGAACGGGTCTATGGCCACAATGCCGGCCCATTTAGTTAGTAGTAGTTCCGGATCTCGGTCCGATGCAGTAGTTAAAGTGCTTGATGTCTTTGTGACTCATGCATGTTTTGTGTTATGTGTTCCGGACTCCGGTCCGATGCAATATGCAGTATATGTGTCCATGCTAGTTGATATGTTTATGCTATGTTATGTTCAGTCAGTTACAGACTTCGGTCCGATGCAGGGGATAAGGTCCCAGTCAGTTCCGAACTTTGGCCCGATGCAGTTAGTTCCGGACTTCGATCCCATACAGTTTCAGACTTCAGTCCGATGCAGTTAGTTTCGGACTTCGGTCTGATGCAGAGGGCAAGGCCCTGGTTAGTTTCCAGACTTCGGTCCGATGCAGTTTCTGTATTCGGTCCGATGCAGTTTCCGGATCTTGGTATGATGCAGTGGGCAAGGCCCACTATGTGTTTTATACGTTATTATATGGTATGTGGTATTTTGGGGGACCTCACTAAGCTTCGTGCTTATAGTTTTCAGTTTTGGTTTCAGGTACTTCCACTAGCAAAGGTAAGAGCTCGGGTTGATGGCATCGCACACACCACAGCTTCAGTTTCTTTTATCCTGGGAGTTTGTTTCAGATACTACGATATGTTGATACATTTTTCTTGTCATGACACATCTATTACAACTTTTTGGGATTTGTGACGTACGGTTTCATTATATATTATGGATGATTGTTAGCTTTTAGCACTATTTAAACAAAAAAATTTGGGTCGTATTTTGGGTCGTTACACTTGGAAGAGTAAAGAGAAGAAAACCCACGAAAACAGCTGTATCCACGTCGTGGACACCACTTACACGAAGTGGAAAGGAAAATTCTGGAAGATGAGTACGCGTAAAGTATAAATCCTTGCCCGATAAGGATTCATCTAAGTCCACGACGTGGAGCCATATTACACGATGTGGAATGTAATTTCATGAAAAGTATATATATATATATATATATATATATATATATATATATATATATATATATATATATGTATATATATAACACTTATGGGTTTGGGGTTTGGTTTTTGGGAGAATAGAGTTCCATAAGTCGTTTTTTCAGAGGATTACAAGTCAGAAAACCCAGAATTTCAACCAAGGAAGAAGAAGGAGATCATAGTTTATTCTTTTTTTGGTATATTACTATGTCATTAACTATGAAGTTTGTTAGTGTGATTGCTTTGTGAGTAGCTAAATCTAGCTGCTTCTGTTAGCTAGATGAAGCTAGAACTCATGGTTTGTTTATATTAATTTAGACTTTTCTCGTTGGTTAATGTCTTGTGTTTGATTGTTTATACCTAACATGCTTAATTTGATACTTGATTGCTTTAATTCATATTTTATGTAGTTAGTGACCATTAATCTGCATGAATTTGACTACCTAGTAATTTAGTGAACATTAGATCATTAGTGCTAAGATCAAACCAATCTTAGATAAGTAATCGAACTATTGAATTTGGTTGTGTTGGAGAACTCATATTGTGACCACACTTGTGTTTGTTAACTCAATCTTACATAGCTCCAATCCTATCTAATAATTGATTCAATGTTAAATTATGTGTGACCATGCATAACTCTACATGAATTAATTGAATATTGATAAATTTGGAATTGAATTACTAATAATATTTTAATTGGTAACCAACGAGAATTGTTATAATTAATATTTAAACAATTGAGGGAAAGTGGATTCAAATTAAAAGAAGTGTTTTTATATCTTGATAAAAAAAAGTAATGATAAATTAAGTTCATCTAAACTTGCAAAATTAGATAAAAACCTCATTTTATTTTTGTTAGAATTTTAGATTAATTTAATATAGTAAGTAGATTAAATAATTGATTTTGTTCCCTGTGTTCGATACACGATTTTTGTGTTATACTATTTGTGATGGGTACACTGCCCTGAGTCGAATATCTAGTAGGAGAGTATGTAAAATTAGGTGTAGCTATTTGTACGCATCAAATGAGTTACATTATCTCCTGTCTGAGAAGCACAATCCTAAAGTTGAACAAATAATTTTTGGTTAGTTGTCTTTCAACTCGAGAGTAAATTTTAAATATTTTCATTAACAATTTCAAGTGGGAGTATTTATATAATATAATATAATATATACTTATACAACTTTTATATCATCCGAATATGAGACATCAATTTGTTGATTATATGATTGAGATTCACCACCATTCATGATAAAATGTCAACGTAAAGGTTAGTTAGTTAGCAATATAAATTATATTAAATACTATTGGAGTTAAGGTATATACCAAAGTTTCAATTTTGCTCTCCAATTCAGAAATTATTCTAGCCTCTTCAATAATTTTGTTAGTAGAATATAAGCTGGTCGTGTTTGTTACATTGTAAGTTGTAACTTCAACTAAGAAAACTGCTTTTCGATGTTTCAAAACGTTTAATTCGGGTGGGAACATAGCCAAACTATCACCTCTCTGTTGAGAAAAAAAAGGTATAAATACATAGATAAGTAAAAGGCATATAATAAAGATATTATACCTTCTTGACTATATCAACTAAATCACTCGCACTTAAATCCAACATTTTCCTTGCATCTCTATCAAAAGTGATATGGACATCGTTCCTGTACCATCCTGGACATTGATAGGGATAAGCTACCTGTATGAAAAGAAGTTATTATAAACATATTAAAAAATTATATTTTTTAAAGATATCAATGTTAAAGGCAAGGAGCTTTTAAATACTTCTCTTTTATCTACACCTCTAACAAGTTGCATTCGTGATTTTTACACTTGTATGTTGACAAATCATCGATGCATTTATGGGAATCAGAAGCATGATGTATATTGTAATCACTAGGTATGAGACCCATGTATTACATGGGTTTATTTATAAAAAAAATTAAATATGAAATTTTAACAATTTGAAAAGTTTGAATTATTAAAATTAATGAGGCTTTAATGTATTTAATACATTATATATAAACCTTTTATAATAAATACGTTACATATATATTACCTTAAATATTAAATGTGGATTTTAATTTAATAAAATGAAAAATACAATAAAATGACAAGTGGAAAATAAAAAATTTAAAAATTCTAGAAAATGTCATGTGTCCAAATGAAGGAGAAGGGGGACATGTGACAAAAACCCTTCATTTATTATAGTAGATTTGTGCACTTATTGCCATATTTAATGCAAGCATTACAATACCAATCATGGTCTTTTCGGATTCCCTTGATTATTCCAATCAAAATAAATTTACCTGTTTGTAACAATACAATAAAGTATATTAATAAAAAATATGTAAAATGTAAAATATAGAAAAAGAAAATAGTTAAAGTGCAACATTATAATATACCTTCAATGGTTGGACGACATCACAAACATTTTTGATTTCCAAATCACTTTGAACCGAATGATTTGATAAAACTAACTTTTACCGGAACTTGTAATCTCCTTAATATCAACATTAACAAACAATTTAGTAGAATCGTAATAAGATTGAAGATCAACACGATCGGAAAAGAAAAATAAAAAATAAAAAACACATATTTTTCATACCAAAGCAAATATTTGAATATTATCACAAACCATTCCAAACATTAAGGGCAACAAACTGGACAATTATGATAATACATGAAACATCTGAGTTTTTTTTTTGTCAAAAATCACTTAGCCAATGGGCTTGAAATCCAAAAAGAGTAATCCTAAGCCTTGTATCCCTACAATAATAAAGTTCAATTTCTAACATAATAAACAACATATACATATATAAGAAATAAGATATAAAGTAAAGGTTAAAGAACTCACTCTAAGTCACTTGTAATCAATGTTGCAGAAATCGCTCGACGGTACCTTGGCGGTGGACTAGGGTCAAAGGATTAATCGCTTAGGCGGGGATTAATCAGGGGGTTAATCAGGGACCATTAACTATGAAAAAATTATTAATAAAATAATAAATATAACATTAATCTTAAGAATATAAGGGTACCTTTAACAAAAAAATATTGCATTTGGCAACTTAATTCTTATAAAAAAATATATGGGAAGCTTTACATAGATCTACCTTATATTACAAGCCTAAACTCCAACATTCAAATTTTAGGATTAAAACATTAAAAAATTTAGAATTACAACATCCAAAATTTAGGGAAACTTTACACAGATCCACCTCATATTACCATCTAGTGATTGGAATAAGATGTTACAAATACAAGTTGAAGTAATCACAACAAACCTATTACAACACCAAAAAAGAACCACTTGATAGTATTATACACAAACTGGGAACAACAAAAATGGACCATTATACCCTCCAAATTTGAATAGCATCCAAATGGTACATCACTACAGTCTACAACCAATAAGTTTTGAGCATGAATCATATTACTCTGTTAAAGAAATCACTTTGTAGAACATGAAGCAGCAAGAACACCCCCTGGAACATGAGAATTGAATAAATTTGGATGATTTTATTTTGCTTTCGTTCACTCCTTTCCCTTTCATGTTATGCTAATCGGACAAGAAGAGATGACTGGCCCATGAATACCAACACCATGCTTTGATAATCAAGACTAAAAGATTCACTCAGGCAATTGATCGAACACTTGGTGGGCATATGGTTCTATACACAAACTAACATCACTAGCACTTCTGCCCTACCTGTTACAACCAGAAACAATAAGGATCTTGGAAGTAACTTACATACATATATGCATAATCACGAGTTATCGCAACAACAATATTCTAACATTGTTTTGATTCAACAAGATTCAATATGGTAACATACGTATATACATATCCCTGAACTCAACTAAAATTTATAGCATATGATTAAGAAATTGAAAACCAGATAATCTTACATAATCAGGATAACGAACACTTGGCGTCAACGGGAAAACAAGGTTGGTGTGGACCGTGTGTCTGCGATTCTACAATCAGTGAAGTGATTCTCCAATCGATCAGCAATCGGTGACTTGTGAGCCTGCGAGAGAGATAGGGATGAGTTTGAATTGAAGGTGAATCTGAGTCGATTTCAATCATAATTTTGGGGGATAGCAGTGGGGTTGTTCCCAGATCGAGAGAGAAATGAGTTTCGATCCCATATCGTTGGTGGGATAAGAGATGAACGCAAAAGTTATTCTATAAGAAAAAGGAGCTAGATCCTTTGAGACGCAAATCGAGCTAAGCTTTGGGCTAGCCGGCTCCTTTGAGCTAGTGGGTCTTTAAAAGTTAGCCGAGCCAATATGGTCTGATTGAAGTACTGGTTGGTTCGATTTATTCCGATTAGGACCGAATTGGTCAATATCGGTTTTGACCGATATTGACCAATGCCGATTCTTTTACCCTCTAACTCTTATTCGTAGGCGGTTGGAGGCTGTCAAACGCCTAGGCATCAATTAATTGGCTGCTTAGGCCGATATTTACAATACTGCTTGTAATGAACTTGATGTTGTGCTTTGATTGATTTGAGTTAGATGCATCAAGATCGCGATGTGAAACGATATGTCTGAGTACATCTAAGAATGATAAAAAGAATAACGTGACTTATAGGGATAATGAAAATAATGTAAAAAACTAACCAAAACATGACTTCTTGGGACAATTTTGCTATAAAATTGATCCAAAATCAACAAAAACAAAACTATGAACTGGACTTCAAAAATCAATACATCTCTTAACAATGGTATCCTAGTGCAAAACAATATGCTGCTCTTGTCCATTAATATTAAAACCATCTCCCATCATAGCCATGTTTGGATTCTTTATCATTAAAGTGTCTCCAACATCAGAAGATTTGGAGCCTAAGGAATTGACTGTTGAAAACACGATATTGAATCTTTGTGCCATATAGACAAAATAAGAAGGCTAGTAAATGATATAAAATAAATAAAAATAAAGGTAAATATAACTACTTAAAGTAGCTTGCTCATCTATAAAGATCATTCCAATGGACAAGATTTGTGTTTTAAACTTTGGTATGAAATTCCCCATGCTAACTATTCGAACTTTAAAAGTGGTATCAGGTGACACCACACCAATGTCATTCAAGTAGGTGATGTTTGAAGTAGACCTGATGCTGAAAGTAAATAGTGTAGAAAAGGAGTTAAGTAAAAAGTATACAAACGTACTTGTTTTAGGTAATGTTAGCATTCATGAAAACGTATCCAATTTATAGGAATATAATTTCCAATTATACCCTTTTTGATTTTTGTTGAAAAAAAGTTATGAAACAAAATATTAAAACATTATTGAAAGTACATTGCTATAAGGAAAAAATAACAATTTACTTTGAAGTTTGTGTATATTATAGCAACCGACTTTAATTTTAATAATTGTTGTAACCATTTTTATATATTTCGATAAACGTATAGAAAAAGTATAAAGTTTAATTTCATAAATCTTGTGTGTATTTGAACCAATTGAACCATTAAGTGGTCATGCTAACCCATGAATATAGATGAACATAATTTATCTGTTATTTTGCTAAGTATTCTAATTAATATTTTATTTAAAATAATTAATTAATAATTTTAAACTTTTATTATAAAATTTAAGTAAAAAACCTTAACGGTGGTTTAACGCATATTATAACCAAATAAAAAATATTTTAAAAAAGAACAGAGAAAACAAACACAAGCCCAACGCCCCCAACCCCCTTGGTCCATGTAGGTGAAAGCCCAATGTACGAGACGGACAAGGGCGTAGAGCGGTAGAGATCCAGAGTTGCTTATCCGAAATCCGATCCAAATCCGGCAAAAAGGCAACAAGAATCAGTAAAGTACTTCAGAGTTCATCCCCAAAATTCCCTCCTAACGAACCACTTCAGTTCTGCTCATTGAGTTGTGTTTGTCTATGTCGGGCATCACATTGACCTATGCTGTTGTTCGGCACCCTCTTCTTCCAGTCTCCGCTTCCGCTTCCGTTTCCGTTTCTCCCAGCAGTAGCACTTTAACTACCAAGAGAAGACCCCGGCAACTACATTATTGTCAATGCACCGTTGACGCCAATTCCGCCATAACCAGCGGAGCTGCTGCTGATGATATATTTTCCGTTAATACTTCTTCGCAGAACTGTGACTTCGATTATCTCGGCCAGAGCACCAAAGGCGATTTAAATCTCAAATACGGTGCCTATTCTTATTATTATACATCATCCCTTTTCTCCTTGCTACAATTCCAATGGCTTATAATTCAAAGTTCAAACAGAACCAACTCGATATGAGCTGCGATTTCAGAACTTTGATCCTTGTTCCTAAACACTAAATGTGTTTGCTTTGCTCATTAGATTGTAGACTTGATCACGCTTTGCCTACTTTACTTTACTGCACCATCTGTGAATGAATCTCGCAACACTACCAGTTCTTCGCTTAAAACATTACTTCGTTATTCTTACACGTCTATGTTATGTTGTGTTGAAGCAGGGATAAATGGCCATACAGATATTGCTTGGAAAGGTCCAATTGAGGAGGTTGCCAGGTTTCAAGCCAAAGAGGCGGAGGGCTTGCTTAAGGACCTTGGAATACAGGTTTCCTTCCTTCTTTGCTTGCACGTTTGTAATTGAAGTACTGAGCTTGATTGACTTCTACATGATGTTCCAAGTTCGTCCTGCTATTTCTTTTTCTCATTGACATGATTGTTATATTTAGGTCAATGTTTAAGACCCTTTGTTTCAAATGTTTTCTTATGCTAAAATCAAGTGCTTAGTTACCCTCTCTTTGCTCACTATTGCAAAATTAGAAACGTTTTTAACATGGTTTTTGAATTAAACTTTGTAACATGCTAATACATTTGCTCATTTGTTTTGACATGTTTTCTCTTGCACCTTGCTGATATATGAACAGTCTGGGATACATCATACATGACAGCGATTTTACTAACTATGATTCTTGTGCAGGATCCATCTTCTTCTAGGCATTCTCCACGTGGCATATTTTGTAGCCGCACATTAAATCTTCGGTCAATCACTGCAATCGGATATGACATGGATTACACTCTAATGCACTATAATGTGATGGTAATTACTTACTAATTAAGATTTAAGACCACATAAATAAATGCTTTATTGCTCAAGTGGTTCAATGAAAGAAGCCAAGTGGCATTCCATAAACTATCCTTTTCATTCCATTACCAAGTACTTACATTTTTGTTTGCAAATGAAATGACTTTAATTTATGAACTTGAAGGCTTGGGAAGGAAGGGCTTATGACTATTGCATGGAGAATCTAAAGAATGTTGGGTTTCCTGTTGATGGACTTGCTTTTGACCCTGATTTGGTAATTCTTTTTTTTTTTTTTTTTTTTTTTTTTTCACTCTGCAAGCTAAGTTTATCATGCTACTAGTGATGATAATATCATGATTTATTTATCTAATAGGTTATTAGAGGACTTGTCATAGATAAAGAGAAAGGCAACTTGGTGAAGGCTGACCGATTTGGTTATGTGAAGAGGGCTATGCATGGCACAAAACTGCTATCCACCCAAGCTGTAAGGTGTGACCTTTAACCTTAATATTATGAAAACAGAAGTTGGATAATTTATTTACTTTTTTATGTTTTGATTTGGTTGTTAATTGTGTGCTTCTGAAAGTGAGATGTATGGGAGG